AATGCACACAGGGCCCGCTGTTCTCGACAATGCACACAGGGCCCGCTTTTCTCGACAATGCACACAGGGCCCGCTGTTCTCTATAATATACACAGGGACTGCCGTTCTCTATAATATACAAATTGGGCTGCTATTCTCTATAATATATACTTTGGTTGTTGTTCTCTGAAATATACACAGGGGCTGCTGTTCTTTACAATGTACACAGGGACAGCTATTGTGTATAATGTGCACACAGACTGTTATACTCTTCACTATACACAAGGACTACTACGTTTTTAAGTATGCACAGGGTCTGTCTTGGGAGTGAACGATGGGGACAGAGTGGAAAGAGCTTTGTTCTGTATCTAACCCAGTGCTGTCCCGGCCCTGGGAGTGTTTGATGGGGGGACAAAGTAGAGAGAGCTTTTACTCTGTATCTAACCCCATGCTGTCCGTGTCCTGAGAGTGTTTGATGGGGGGGACAAAGTAGAGAGAGCTTTTACTCTGTATCTAACCCCGTGCTATCCTTGTGTTGGGAGTGTATGCATTTGGGGGCATCACTTCACTGGAAGCTGACGGTGTGGTGTGAGCCTGTAACTCCTGGTGTCAGCACACTGGCAGGTAAATATGCCTTTGTGAAACTCGCAGCAGCTCAGTGAGTATTCCTGACTTGCCTGGCTCACACTGGGCTGGTAAGGAAATGGCTGTCTGGTGTATTGACATTTATTGCACCTCCCTGGTAGTGAATGTTTCCCCTCTGCGACTTGAGTGGTTCCCAGAATGAGGTGTCGTGGCAGCAGCGTGCGGTGTGGCGGGGAGAGGGGTGGTGTTTGTGATCTTTTCTTTGACATGGTCCGAACCATCATTCTGCAAGATCAGCTGTATTGAGGCTGCGTTGAAACTCAGACTTCAAGTGGCTTGCTTTTGATGTGGTGCAGGAAGAGGAACATCAAACAACTTGCACTTGCATTAATTCCCTGCCTACTTTTTATTGTTTTATTGGCAGTGCTGCCCAGGGATGGGGGAGGTATTGGTCGGGGTGTTGGGTGAAGGAGGGGGACGATGTCAGACTTTTAACTGCCTGCAGGCAAGGTGTCCCCCCCTTGTATAGGCAGAGAGAGGGTGAACGTGTTTGCAGGAAGTGTCCTCTCTGTGAATGAGCAAAATTTCAGACAAAGTAAGACCAGAAGTTGGTTATTTATCCCATTGCTCCGATATTCAATGAGATCATGATTGATCTGCCTTGCCCCCCCACCACCATCCAAAACTCTTGATTTTCTTACAGATCAAAAATCTGTCTATGTCAGCCCTTAATGCACTCTGGCAGGAAGAGCAGACGAGCTGAACAACACTACTTAAGTGGAGGAAGATTGCAGAAAGCTACAGAACAGAGGAATTTCAGTGCCTTTGTTCCTGAATCACAAAACGTTAGTGTAATGCGGGACGTCAAATGGAATGTTGGCCTTTGAATATACTCAGCCTCAACAGTCCTCTGCAGGAAAGAATTCCACAGATTCACTCCCCTCGGAGAGAAATTCCTCCTCATCTCACTCTTCGATGGATGACCCCTTATTCTGAGATGTTTCTCCCCTGGTCCTAGACTCTCCCACGCAGGTTGGGAGGTGGGGTAAGCTCCCCACATCTCCCCTGTCAATTTCCTCCTTAGAATCTTGAAGGTTTCAATAAGGTCACCTCTCATTCTTCTAAACTTCAACAAGTACAGGCCCCAACCTACTCAACCTCTCCTCACAAGTCCCTCCATACCTGGAATCAGCTGAGTGAAGGTCCTGCAATATCTTTCCTTAAATAAGGGGTTAGAATTGTTTACGGTATTCCAGCTGTGGTCTGACCAGTGCCTTGGATAGTTTCAGCAAAACCTCAATACTTTTATACTCCATTCCCTTTCAAACAAAGGCTGATATCCCACTTGCTCCCAAGTGCCCATCATGGCCCACATCAACTCCAGTCTCTCAGCCTGCCTCGATCCCCTATGATTTGCCTACTGACGTAACAGGTCCACAGCGGATGCCATATCCCTAGCCCTGCACTCATCCCTGGAATATCTGGACAACAAAGACACCTATGTCAGAATCCTGCTCATTGACTACAGCCCTGCCTTTAACACCATTATCCCCTCCAGACTGATCTCAAAACTCATGACCTTGGTCTTGGCTCTGTCCTCTGCAACTGGATCCTCAGCTTCCTGACTCACAGACCGCAATCAATGAGGATAGGTAACTGCATCTCCTCCACAGTAACACTCAACACTGGAGCCCCCCAGGGATGTGTCCTCAGCCCCCTTCTGTACTCCCTGTACTCCCATGACTGTGTTGCCAAATTCTGAATGAACGCCATCTATAAGTTTGCTGATGACACCACTGTAGTGGGACAGATATCTAACAACGATGAGTCAAAATACAGAAGGGAGATAGAGGGCTTGGTGATGTGGTGTGATGAAAACAATCTGTCTCTCAACGTCAGCAAATCAAAAGAACTGATCATCGACTTCAGAAAGAAAAGAGGAGAACACACCCCCAACTACATCAACAGAACTGAGGTTGAGAGAGTGAAGAGCACCAAGTCCCTCAGAGTGACGATAACCAACAAACTGTCCTGGACTTCCCCCGTAGATATGACAGTCAAGAAGCCACAACAACACCTCTTCTTCCTCTGGTGCCTCAGGAAATTTGGCATGTCCCATAAGGTCCCTCACCAACTTCTACAGATGCACCATTGAAAACATACTGTCTGGGTGCATAACGGCCTGGTATAGCAACTGCTCTGCCCAGGACCATAAGAAACTACAGAAGGTGGCGTGCACAGCCCAGACCATCACGGAAACCAACCTTCCATCCACGGACTCTATTTACACAGTTCGCTGCCACGGAAAGGCAGCCAACATCATCAAAGACTCATTGCATCCCAGTAATGACCTCCTACAACCTCTTCCGTCAGGCAGAAGATACAGAAGCCCGAACACATGCATGAGTAGGTTCAGGAACAGCTTCTTCCCAGCTGTTATTAGACTGATGAATGTCTCTAGCCTCAAATAATGTTGATCTTGCCAACGTTGATCTCACCTAGTGCACGCCCTGTGCATTGTAACCTGTATGCCTCTAAGTTTTTTTGATCTGTACATCCTTGCTTACTATGATCTGCCTGTACTGCTTGTAAACAAAGCTTTTCACTGTACTTTGGTACACATGACAATAAATCAATCAATCTGATTCTTTTTTAATATGGCTAGTTTCCATTTCCACCCAGCCAGTAAGCAATGAGATCTACTATAGCTTTGACAGGGCTGCACTGAAAGGCTAGCGATGGGTAGACCCACCCAAAAAAAGGGGCTGTGTGTACAAGGTCCAGGGAGATAAGGATTTCAGGATCTGGGAGGGGCTGGGGAGGCAAGGACTTGAGAAGGAATATTTTTCCACAGCATCTTCGCAGCGAGCAGGAACTCACCGCTCATGAGGTGGAGATTGACCATTTCGAACGGGGATCAAACGGGCATTTGAGGGGAATAGAGTCGCTGGGGGCTATGGGGAGAGTGCGGGGGGAGAATGGGACTGACTGGATTGCTCGACTGAGACAGCCAGCATGGACTCGATGGATCAAATGGAGCCCCACGCTGTGCCTTAATTACACGATAAATGTCGATTCTTAATACTTAAAATTGAGGATAAAAGGTACTGTCGGAGGGTCAGCGCTGAGGGAGTGCCGCACTGTCAGAGGGTCAGTGCTGAGGGAGCGGGCGCTGTGGGAGGGTCAGTGCTGAGGGAGCCCCGCACTGTCGGAGGGTCAGCACTGAAGGAGTGCTGCACTGTCGAAGGGTCAGCGCTGAAGGAGTGCTGCACTGTCGAAGGGTTAGCGCTGAAGGAGTGCTGCACTGTCGGATGGTCAGCGCTGAAGGGGTCACTGGGGGTAGGGGGGTGGGGAGATTGCTGTGATTTTTGGGAGCTGGTGGGACAATCCAAGTGGAGGTCAACCTCGATCACATCGAATGGCAGAGTGGGCCGGCAGAAGGCCGAACGGACTCCTCCTGCTCCTGTTCCTTACGTTGTCAAGTGCCGGCCGCCTCCCCGAAAGGAGTGCCGAGCAGGTCAGGGTGCCTCAGGGCGGGTACCTCCTCCATTTTCTGTGCTTTCCCCGGACTGGCTGTCCTGATGTGGTCCAAAGTAGTGGCATAAGGGACTTTTGAGGTCGGGCGAGATGTGAGGAGCTGATAAAGGAGTGGCGTGCCAGGAGCAGGCCTGGTGGGAGGCAGTAACCTACTTTAAACAGTGATGCGCTACTCTCGGGTGAGTCAGATGTTCCCTTTGATAAGAATTATTCAGCAAGAAAGAAAATGCATTGTGGAAATATTCCAATTGTGGTGCTCTTTTGTTTTTAAACCGGTTATTAAACTAACACCAGCGTCAATTGCCTGTGCATCAGTGCAGTTGAGGAGCCATTTGCATGGATGTTGGATGCAGTGTGAACCAAACCTGTCCTTTGTAACATTCCCTCACTGATCTGTTTTCGTTTTGTATCCTTTAGTCACTTTTTAACCATTCAAACTGCAGCCCCCACCCACACCCCCCCACCTCTGTGTAGACTGTGTTACAGTTCTGTCAGAGCTGGCTTTTCTCTGCTACCTCATCCACACAACACTTCATTGTAAACGTTGCCCAGCTTTTCATTTTTAAATCGTTCACAGGACATGGGTCACAAGTTGGACTGGCATTTATTGCTTAATCCCCAGTCCTCCCTTGAGAATGTGGGGATGAGCCACTTTCTTGAAACCACGCAGCTCCCCATAACTCGGTGTAGTGTAGGGACACCCCTTAGGGATGGAGTTCCAGGATTTTGACCCTGAAAGAATGGCTGATATATTTCCAAGTCGGGATGGTGTGTGGGGCTTGGAGGGGAGCTTGCAGGGGGTGGTGTTGCCATGTACCTGCTGCCCCTTTTGCCCCCTCTAGGGGGTAGAGATCACAAGTTTGGAAGGTGCTGTCTAAGGAGCCTTGGGGAGACGCTGTAGATGGTACACACTGTTACAACTGAGCGTCGGTGGCGGAGGGCGTGGGTGCTTGTGGATGTGGTGCCAATCCAGGTGGAGGTGGCGGGGGGAGTTGGCGCTGCTTTGTCTCTGGATGGTGTCGAGCTTTTCAAGTGTTTGTCAGAGTCGCCCCCATCCAGGGCAAGTGGGGAGGACTTGAGCCTAGAGGTACTGGTATCACTGCATGAATTTAATCTTTTCAAATGAAGGAGCCGTTGATGTTAACTGTCGTGTCTGAGATCCGCTGATCCATGAATCACTTGTCTCTTCCCACTGCCATGTTGCTGGTGCAGGCATGATGGGCTGAATGGCCTCCTGCTGGACTGTAACACTGCTCGAAATAACATTTACCCACTCACAAAGCTCTCTCACTCCCTTCCTTTCTTCTCTCGCTCCCCCATGTCTTTGCTTCTTTATCAACATCCTTCAATCCATTTTCCTTTCTATCCACCTCTTGGATTTTTTTTCCTCACCCGCTACTTCACCCTCATTCTTTCTCGTGCTGTCTCACTCTCCGCTCGCGCTCGATTCATTTTCTTCCCTCTTTGCTTGGCTTTTTCTACATTGTTGTTTTTCCTCTCACTTTGCTGTCTGTGCAAATCTCCCTCCCCACCCTGTTTTTTTCCATTCCCACCCTCGCATCTAGCTATCTCTCTTTTTCCCTTATCTCTTGGGCCTTCTTTGACCGTTCTCTCTCTTTTCTGTGTGGTGGTTTGAAGATGAGAACATTTCCCCATCTGATATACAGGATGTAACATTGTGCTTGTAAATGCACTTTCTAACACCTACTAGGGTTTCAGCTAAAAGGACATTCTTCTATGTCAGAACGATTACTTCTGCAGCTACTCTGTGCAATAACCTGATAGCAAGGCAGCAGAGCAAAAATAACATCTCTTTTCAGTAACTGACAATTCCTGGCTCCTTATTTATTTCTAAGAAATTGAATAAACCGGGGCATTTTCCCCCGAAGCATCGGAGGCTGAGGGGTGACTTTATGCAGGTTTCTAAAATCATGAGCGGCATGGATAGGGTGAATAGCCAGGGTCTTTGCCCTCAGGGTGGAGCAGTCCAAAATTAGAGGGGCACAGGTTTAAGGGGAGAGGGGAAAGATTTAAAAGGGACCCAAGGGGCAACTTTTTCACACATAGGGTGGTGCAAGTATGGAATGAGCTGCCAGAGGAAGTGGCGGTGATGGGACAATTGCAACATTTAAAAGGCATCTGGATGGGGACACGAATAGGAAGGGTTTATAGGGATATGGGTCAAATGCTGGCAAATGGGACTAGATTAATTTAGGATATCTGGTCAGCACGGACGGGTTGGACCAAAGGGTCTGTTTCCGTGCTGTACAACTCAATGACTGTAAATTGTTAATTTCTGTTTAAGTTATAAACTTGGTGTCTGATGTCTGTTATCCCTAAAATCTGGTTAGGAATATTTCGGCAAAGTTTGAGGGTCACTGAATTTTAATTTCACTGTGTTGCAAATCCAGTGGGTTTCTTAATTTATAGAGTCATAGAGATGAAAAGCAGGGAAACAGACCCTTTGGTCCAACCTGTCCATGCTGACCAGATATCCTAAATTAATCTAATCCCATTTGCCAGCATTTGGCCCACATCCTTTCGAATCCTTCCTATTCATGTACCCGTCCAGGCGCCTTTAAAATGTTGTAGAGAATCTGATCTGTGTCTGGCTTGCTATCGCTGCATCGTAACAATGAGAACAGGCTTATTGTTGAATACGGTCCACCCTCACTCCTGCCCTTGTTTTTAATGTTCCTCTATCCCTTTCTATGTCATGCAGCTATCCAGTTACCCCATTCAATGCTCTGCAAAGATTGGATTACCATATGAGGGAAGACGACTGCAGTATTCTTCGGAGTTCAAGAGAATTAGAGGCAACATATTTCAAACGTGTAAGATCCTGAGGGGAGTTGACTGGGGAGGATGTGGAGAGGATGATTCCCTTTGTGGGAGAATCTAAAACTAGGAGGCCACTGTTTAAAAATAGAGGGGTCTGATTAAAACAGAAACTTTCTCTCAGAGGGTTAAGAATTCCCTTCTTCAAAAGGCAGTGGATGCAGAATCTTTAAATTTTGAGGGCAGAGGGAGATAGATTCCTGATGACGAAGGTTCCTCCTGTGACTCTTTAAGAGTTACTAGCCCTGCCCTGTGCGTGTTTATAGCTGCCTCATGCTGTCAGTTGACCCACTTTGCCCTCAGAGAGGGAATTCGAGGATTTTGATCCATCAATACTGAAGCAGAGAGTTTCTGTTTTAATCGGGTGCCCACTTATTTTTAAAACAGTGACAACAGTGTTGGAGGGTTTGAGCTAAAGGGAGAGGCTGGGGCTGTTTTCCCTGGAGTGTCAGAGGCTGAGGGGTGACCTTATAGAGGTTTATAAAAAATCATGAGGGGCATGGATAGAGTGGATAGACAAGGTCTTTTTTCCCAGGGTAGGGGAGTCCGAATCTAGAGGGCATAGGTTTAAGTGAGTTGGGAAAGATTTAAATGGGACATAATGGGCAACTTTTTCCATGCAGAGGGTGGTGCGTGCATGAAATGAGCTGCCACAGGAAATGATGGAGGCTGGTACAATTACAACATTGAAAAGTCATCTGGATGGGTATATGAATAGGAAGGGTTTAGAGGGATAAGGGCCAAATGCTGGCAAATGGGACTAGATTAATTTAGGATGTCTGGTCAGCATGGACAAGTTGGTCTAAGGGTCTATTTCTATGCTGTACAGCTTGATGACTGTAAGACCAGGCCAGGCTGGTTATAAACAGGGTCAACACAGTGTAGAGCTGGAGGAACACAGCAGGTCAGGCAGCATCAGAGGAGCAGGAAGTTGACGTTTCTGATGAAGGTCCTGACCCGAAACGACAACTTTCCTGCAGCTCTGATGCTGCCTGGCCTGCTGTGTTCCTCCAGCTCTACACTGTGTCGACTCTGACTCCAGCATCTGCAGTTCTTGCTATCTCTGAGTGGTTATAAACAGGCCCAGGCAGCAAGCTGTGGAGTGGGTCATTTCTGCTGACTGCCTGCCTCTCTTCCGTGGTTATGTTCGAGCCTGGGTGTCCTTGGAGATGGAGCACGCAGTGTTCACCGATGCTCTTGATACGTTGAGGGGGAGGTTGGCAACATGGAGGGTGGAGTGATTTATTTCCATCTGCAATTCTATTTTGATTTGATGCCTACCCTCCCATCCACTTTTTTCTTTCATGTAAGCATCGCCCATACCAGGCTCTGCTTGTCACTGGTTCCCTGGCCACATGGGTCCTTTTCCTGGTGGTGGGAATGTTGAATAAAATTATCTATGCAAAAAAAATTTGAAAAGGCAACTCACCACCACCTTCTCAAGGGGCAACTAGGGATGGGCAATAAATGCTGGGCACAGCCAGTAATGCCCATATCCCACAGATATTTTTGTCTGCCTCTAATTACAACCTTGCCTGCTTCCTGCCTGTGTTAGTGTCCACTTAATAGAGTTTGGTGACTTTGGCCACGATGTTGGGAAGGAGGTGCCTGCCCCTTTAAGAGTTCCCGGCCCCGCCCCTGTGCATGTGGGGGTGTGGCCAGTCGAAACACCGCCCACCCAAGGTTCGGCCAATGAGAGGCCGCCTCGGCTCACGTGACTGAACACCGTCCCGCTTCAACCGGTGGAGCCCGTCAAAACACTCATTTACAAAACAAAACAAAGAAAATGAACATAAACCGACCTAAGACATTGCCCAAGAGCAGATAAATAACGATCCGTTCAGCGACAGGCGGGTCGCGGCCTATGTTTAAGAAGTGAAACGAGAGACGCCTGCTTACCTGCCGGTGGCACCTGGGCGGGGTTTCCAAGCTTAGGACGGTGGGGCGACGCCTGAATGACGGCGATTGGCACCAAGCGGGAAAGGGCAGGGGCGAGGCTCCAACGAATCGACAGACCTGCCGGCCAATCCGAAGTAAGGGGGCGAGGCAACGGTGCGTATGATGGATGGCCTCAACAACCAATAGCAATTGACAGCCGGGGGGATCGCCAATGGAGATTGGAGGAAGGGCACGAGGCCGTTCCTGATGGACGACAAAACTGACCAATAGAAGCGAGGGTACCACCCATGTAGGCGGTGAAGCAACCATTGATAACATGAGACAAGTGTGGCCTGCTGCGATAATGTCTTATGACCAATCACAGGAGTTGTCACTGCCAAAACGGGAAAAGACACTGTCTAACCTATTGATGTATGGCGGGCTGCGCTTGAAGGACACAATTTCATCCAATGGGATGAGGGATAACCGTTTCACATAAGTCGGCAGCCCAGACCAGTAGGATGAAAGGGTGTGGTAAGAGGGTGGGACCGGGCTGGACGCACTTTACCCTAGACCAATAGGATGAGCACCAGGGGGCGGGGACAAAGTTGTTTTGCATGACAGACCAATGAGATGAATGGGAGTAGGTTAGATGGACAGCCCCTTGGCTGAATCGGGTTGAACTGGGCGGATTGATGGGCGGGGACCCGGTGGTGGACGGGCGACTGAACCAATGAAGCAGGCGGGGGCGTGTAGGGGGCGGGAACAAAGGCGCGTGGTCGCTCCTTTGCACCAATGCGGTGACCACGGGGGCGGGCGCAAACGGCGATCGGCGCTCCCCCCTTTGCTCCAATGGAGCGACGGGAGGTGGTCGTGGGCGGTGCCAAATTTAGATGGACAGCACATTCAACCACTGGGATGAAGGGGCGCTGTCGGGGCGCGTCGATGGACAGTTTCCTCTCCCAATGAGAGGAGACTGAAAGAGGCGGGAGGCGAGGGCGCTCGGCCAATGGCGTGTACGAGCGCCTGGCGGGCGGGACCTCCGCCGGCCGCTGTTCGTCGCCGATTCCTCTCCGTCGACGGTGGGCAGCTGAGGGGAAATTAAAAGTAAAGAGCAGGGGGAAAAAAGGTTGGCGTGGGGGGGAAAAGACGATCCAACCTTCACACCCTTTTTCAGTTTCCACCTGGACGGTTGTCAGTCAAGATTGAGCTCGACAAAATTTTTTTTTTACCTCATAAAATCACGCCACAGCCAGAAAGTGCCTGAGCCCCAGGTAAGAGAACGACAAGTGAATGTGAAGAAGTTTTATTTTCTGACCTGCCTGCCGTGCACGCAGCAGTGAGAACGGTTTGCTTCACCTCCTGCCCTTGCCCACCTTGACATCCAGGTCGGGTCAAAGGTCAGGGGTCAGGGTGCATTGTCCATTTTGAGGGGCTGTGGGGCGTGCAGGGAGGTTTTTTGGAGGGTATCGGATGGCAGTTATACCCCTCACGCAGCCCACTTGGCAGATGCCTGGGGATGGAGGTGGCGGAGGAGGAAGAGGTGTTGGCGTGACCAGTGGGCACTGCTGGAGTGGACATCCATCTCTGTCTGCATTGGCCGTGCACCCGAGATCTCGGAGCGGATCCCCACGTCCTGCATCCGAGTTGGGCTAGAGAAGCGGGTGCCAAGTTTTCGGGTGGCTCCAACCGGATCGATTCCGGGGGTGTGGCGGGAATGAGGCAGGAGGGCGGCACGGCGATTAATGCTGCTGCCTCACGGCACCGGGGACCCGGGTTTGATTCTAACCTCGTCTTTTTCCCCACCCCCTGCCCCTGTGACAGCGTGGATATCCTCTGGGTGCTCCGGTTTCCCCTCTTCGTCCAAAGATGTGCTGGTTAGGGTGGATTGGCCGTGCTAAACTGTCCCGTAGTGCCCAGGGATGTGCGGGTTAGGGTGGATTGGCCGTGCTAAATTGTCCCGTAG